TGCTTTCAGTCAGTTGTGGTCAGTCTTCCTTCCTACTCTCACTTATGGTCATGAGCTCTGGGTAATGACCAAAAGGACGAGATCGTGGATACAAGCGGTTAAAATGAGTTTCCCCCGCAGGGTGTCTGGGTGCTTTCTTAGAGATAGGGTGAGGAGCTCAGTCACACGGGAGGAGCTCAGAGTAGAGCCGCTGCTCCTCCACGTCGAGAGGAGCCAGTTGAGGTGGCTCGGGCATCTGTTCCAGATGCCTCCTGGACGCCTCCCTCGAGAGGACATGCCCCAGGGAAGACCCAGGACACGGTGGAGGGACTATGTCTCTGGGCTGGCCTGGGAACACCTTGGGGTCCCCCTGGAGGAGCTGGAGGAAGTGTCTGGGGTGAAGGAAGTCTGGGAGTCCCTGCTTAGACTGCTGCCCCCGTGACCCGGCCCCAGATAGCTGACAGTTTCAACTGCTCACTAGTGGTCTTCCTCAGAGTCACGTGATGTTGCAGTGTCGTGTCGCTCAGTTGATTTAAACTGTTTTTGGTGCTGTCTTCCTATCGGTGGAGGCAGGACGACAGCGCCATCTGCAGCCCGACTTCCTCAGGACAGTATCCCAGGTGTGTGAGAGTAAAAAATCCCCCTCGCCCCAAAATGGCTTCATAAACACACAGTAAATACACTTTACTGTATTGTCTTCAAAAAAGAACCCAAGGAGTTAAAGTACATAAGACGGCAAAATTAACATCTTTGGTTTAATGCTAGATAGATAGTTTAATGCCATACTGTGGGATATTCCAGGAAGAGCAATAACATCTCCATGGAGGCAAGCAGAAAAGTTACACAGCATTAACTAAACTGCCAATGACATTGATTTCCCAATAGAAAAGCCTGTGCTCTGTCCGTGGTGCTGAAGGATCAGAGCACAAACACACACACACAAACCCACACAGCTCCTCGTCGTTGGACATGAATGAGTCTGTTTTATAAATGAAAGTACATTTGACAAATTCAAATATTTTTTTGTGATTCCTTCTTGGTTTGGAAGATAATATCCACAATGCAGAGACAATTTACACACAAGGAAGGCATTTTAAAACACTAAGACACTTTAAACCTTCTTTCAACAGAATCAAAGGTGTTACCATTAATTTTTCCTTTAAGACATTTGGAAACATGTGACGACAACTTCCGGCGGGTTCTGTTCACGGTCGTAAGTCTAACAAAATCTAAGAAAAATGAGAAACTGGCCCAGTTTTCTTCCCGATCTTGGAAATCGAATGGTGCCCGAATTTGCACTTCTGGGGGTTTCTGCGATTCGTCTAGTGAGCCTGGTCAAGCAGAAGTCAACAGCAAGGCCTAAAATTCAAGTTAATGCATCTGACATAAAAATGTATTGAACAGATACATATGTACTCTAGTTTATGAAACTGTTTACCTTTTTTCTGTACCATTTTTGGTTCTAAAGTTGCATATGTTTTAAACAGACCATGTATGAAACATGGAACAAAAATTATTTCCCAAATTTCAAAGACCTGCAAAAATCATGTAAATAAATGGATGTATTTCATCATATCTTGTGTTATTCCATCTTTGAACTGTTGATGAAGGTACATGATTTTTTTTTTTTTTTTTATGTATTTAAAATGATAAAAATTTGCTTGGAAGGACTGACATATTTTATAGAAATAGTTTCCTTTCATTTTGAAGTAATATTAAAGTATTCGGAAGAAAAAAGCGACAAATTATACAAAATCATGCACCTTCTACTTGCTTGCACAATTTTCCCTCTGTTACTTTTCCCTCCGTTACCATGACCTTTCTTAATAAAAAATCTCATTACTCAAAAAGTAAGAGGTTTTTCAACCTAATCTTGTACCATATGGTAGAAAACTATATTAAGTAGTCATCGCTGTTTGTATTTATTGCCCAAAAAGTGCTGCATATTTCATTCCCTCCGTTACAGACATGAGTTTTTACATTTTTTGTCAACAACTTGAAAGAATATCACAGGTTTAACTTGACCCTGTTGGAGTGTAACTCTTTCCTACATTCTGATACTTTACTTATTTCAATAGTCCCTCTAGTTTCTGAATAAGAGACATTTGAATGTAAAAAATCTGCCCCTGTTTCCCTCCGTTAACACTTGACCGGACCCTAGTGTATTTTGATTCCTGACCTAGGCGCTGGAGAGAAATGAAATTGATTGGAGACACTAGGTGGCGCCAGTTTGAGTAGATTATCACAGACAGGACAACACAAGCACAAAAGCAGCACACGAACATCCACCATAGAACAGAAGAAATAAAAGACCAAGTCTGACCTTGAGTGACGCACCAACAGAACATTTAAATCACTCTTAAACCCGTCGCAATCTTGTATTCTATTAATAACTGCACATTCTCTTGACCTGTGTGCAGTTTTGATTGCACATTTCCTGAGCCTTTTACTTTTTATTTTTAACTTCCCTCTCTGAGTTTAGCAGATTAATGACTAACGGCACAATAGAATGTTTCAGTTTACAGATAAAATATAAAGTTGTAGTTTTATGTCACTTTTCTGCTGGAGCGTGCTGCATCTGCTCGTCTCCATGGGGATGTCGGCGCCTGGAATGTTCCACCGTGTGGCTTTAAACGGACAGGACACATCTCCCTGACGGGCGGCTGACTCCCACACGAGAGACGGAACAGATTTACACTCAGACACGTTTGAACAACACGAGCGCTTTTTATATTTTCATCTTAAACTATTAAACTTAAGGCGAAAGGCCACAGTCTGTGTCACTAAAACGTGTGACGAGCTTCTGTCGCAGATTTTAGGTCAGAGAAGAACAAACTGTTACAAGAAAATGAGCGACAGAAGAAAAGAGAGAAGCAAACATCCCATCTTCCTCTCTTTCTCTGTTTCTCTCTTTATAAATTCCCTCCTGTCTTCCTCTCCTTTTCTCTCCCCATCTTCTTCTCTCTCTCTGTTAACCCCTTTCTCTGCCTCTTTTTCTCTCTCCTTCTCTCTCCCTGTCCTCCCCCTCTCTTCCTCTCTATTTTCTCTCTATCTGTAATCCCCCTCCTCTCTTTTTCTCACTCCTTCTCTTCTCTCTCTGTCAACTCACCTCTCTCTTCGTCTCTTCCCCCACCCTCTCATCTTCTCCCCCTCTCTCTTCCTCTCTTTCTTCTCTCTCTCTGTCAACCTCCCCTCTTTTTTTCTCTCACCCTCTCTGTTTTCTCTTCCCCTCTCGTCTTCTCTCTCTATAAACCTCTCCTCTCTTTTCCTCTTATTCTCTCTCTTCCTCTCCTTTTTTCTCCTCCTCTCTTCCTCTCTCTCTGTAACCCTCCTCCTCTCTTTTTCTCTCCCCCTCTCTTCTTCTTCTTTTCTCTCTGTCCTCTCTTCTCTCCCTCTATCAACCCTCCTCTCTCCTCCTCTTTTCTCTCCCCTTCTCTTCCTCTCTCTCTCTCTGCCAACCCCTCCTCACTTCCTCTCTTTTCTCTCTCTCAACCCCCCTCCCTCTCTTCTTCTCCCACTCTGTCAATCTGCCTCTCTCTTCCCCTCATTCTTCTCTCTCTCTATCAACCCCTTCCTCTCTTTTCTCTCCCCCTCTCTTTTCTCTCTCTCTCTCAACCCCCTCCTCTCTTCCTCTCGTCTCTCTTCTTCTCTCTCCCTGTCCTCTCTTCTCCCTTTTTGCCTCCTCCTCTCTTCCTCTCTCTGTCTATCAACCCCTCCTCTCTTTTTTTCCTTTCTCTCTCTGTAACCCCCTCCTCTCTTCTTCTCTCTTTGTCAACCCCCTCCACTCTTCCTCTTTCTCTCTCTCAACCCTCTCCTCTCTTCCTCTCCTTCTCTCTCCCCCTCCCTTCTTCTCTCTCTGTCAACCGCCTCTTTCTTTTTCTCTCTCCCTCTCATTTGCCCCCTCTCTCTTCCTGTTTTCTCTTCCCCACTTTTCTTCTCTCTCTGCCAACCCCCTCCTCTCTCTTGCTCTTTTTCTCTCCCCCTCTCCTCTCTCTTTCTGTCCTCTCTTCTCCCTTTTTGTCTCCTCCTCTTTTCCTCTCTCTGTCTATCAACCCCTCCTCTCTTTTTTCCTCTCTCTCTCTGTAACCCCTTCCTCTCTTTTTCTCCCCCCTCTTCTTCTTCTCTCTCTCTGTCCTCTCTTCTCTCTTTGTCAACCCCCGCTCTCCCTCTCTTTTTCTCTCCCCCTCTCCTCTTCTCTCTCTCAACCCCTTCTCTCTTCCTCTTTTCTCTCTCTGTAAACCCCATCCTCTTTTTTTCTCTCCCCCTCTCTTATTCTCTCTCTGTCTATCAACCCCTCCTGTCTTTTTACTCTCTCTGTCTCTGTCCTCTCTTCTCTCTCTCTCAACCCCCTTCTCTCTTCCTCGTTTTTCTCTCTCTGTAAACCTTCTCCTCTCTTTTTCTCTCCCCCTCTCTTCTCTCTTTGTCAACCCCCTCCTCTCTTCCTCTCATTTTCTCTCCTCCTCTTCCTCTCCCCCAGTTTCTCTCTCTGCCTCCAAGCCCCCTCCTCCCTCTTTCTCCATCTCTCTCCTCTCTCTCTCTCCTCGTACATGCATCTTCATCGCGCTTTCTCTCTCTTTTTCCTTTTTTTTTGCCTCGCTGTTTTCTTTACGCATCACGTCTGCCGCACCGCACCGCCGCCGCGCCTCCTCCTCCTCCTCCTCCACCGCCCGTGACGCGCTCCGCCGCACAGCGCACCGCCGCGACACGAGGTGAGCGCTGCGAAAACAACTCCTCTATTTACACACGCGCGCCGGGACCTGCACCTACACCCCTTCACGCTTCTTTGTTGTTGTTTTTTGTTTATTTTTTAATCCCTCTGTTTCGCCAGGATGCTGCCCTTGAGTCGCGCCGCTCTCCCACCGCGCCCGCACCGGATCAACGTGGCCGAAAACGACGCGTCTTAAGGCGGGCATCTCCATCCACCAACCCTCCCTCCCCAGGAACGCACTCGAGCTCCGTGTTTTTGCCTCGGTTCTGGTTCTGGTTCGGTGTGTTGCGGTGGTTTGTGTTCAGGCGTCGCCATGAGAGCTCCGGACGGGGGCGCGGACAGGGGCCTCCGGTGCCGGGGATCGGTGTGCCTGCTCTGGCTGCTGCTCTACGTGCCTCCGGCGTGCGCGTCCTACTCGCCCCAGAGCGGAGAATGCCGAGGCAAAGGCCGCGACTGCACAGGTGAGAGCGACGTGCGCCACATTGTTTGTCTGATTTCACGTTTTTTTTCCCCGTGTTGTTGTGGTTTTTGGAGAGCTAGCTGAAGCCAAAAGGCCTGCCAGGAGTACGACTTAAAGCTTCAATATTACGCAGAATTGACTCGTGTGAGCTTTAAACCGTGTTAAAACCTCCAAAAACAGACCTGGACTTGTGTTTTGATTTGTATTTGTTGTCTGTCTACGTTTCCAAACCTCAAAATGCTCTGTTCACCTCGATAACATGGGCACGTTAAACCCAAAAAAGCTCAGAAACACGCTCCGGATCACGTGTCCAAAACCAAATTCATTCTAACATTTGGTTTTATAAAAGTATAACAGGTCTATTTATTAAAAACGCAGCTCTTGTGGCCCTTGTGTTAGTCCAGGGCTGTTTGTCTGGGACTAAATTCAGGTGGATTTTACTGTAGCACACTGCGAAAAAAACAAAATCTAGTCAAGTTAAGATGAGTTGAATTAAGAAATCTTTATCATGATTTGAGTACATTTCATTTGACAAGTAAAAATGATCCTAGCCAGTTTCACTTCGTGGAAACCGTCTGACCTCGCAGCGTTAGGGTTTGTTCGCTCGACGGTAGGGGGTACTTTTTTTATTTAACCATTCGCTGCTGTTTGATCGTCAAGTATGTAATGCAACAAATCCCGTAGGAAGAAGATCAATAACGTCTTTCCCCTTGATGAAATTCACCAAACATTCTCTTTGTTTCCTAGACAGACTGGTGCCGCCTAGTGCCTTCACTCAATTTTATTTCTCTCCAGCGACTAGGTCAGGAATCGGAATACACTAGACCAGGCATGTCCAAACTATGGCCCGTGGACCAAATGCGGCCCTCTGACAAATTTTTCTTGGCCCTCAATCTTCCAGGAGTATAGGCTCAAATTACCTTGCATCAATGAAAAATTTACTTTTTATTGCAAGTTTTTTGAAAATCTGCCTTGATGAAGCCAATATTTATTATTTAGTGTGTTGTTTTACGGACCTTAGCATGAATAAAATCTGATGGCTCATTCCAACGTGTTAAACATGCACATATTTAAATTATTTACTGAGCAATTATTTATTGAGCACCAGTCTACGGCCCTCGATCAACCCTCTGCTTCTTCTATGTTTAGATATGTGACCCTTGATGAAAAAAGTTTGGACACCCCTGCACTAGACGGTTCGCAAAAAACCCCGGAAGTGTGAGTTCAGGCACCAGCCAATCAGCGAAGAGCCACATATTCCGTGTTGGCAACGATTCCTGAGATCGAGGATTTAAAGCCGGGAACAAAGAGAATGTTTGGTGAATTTCATTAAGGGGAAAGACGTTATTGTCCTTCTTCCTACGGGATTTGAGAAAAACTTAATATTCTAACGCTGCGAGGTCAGACGGTTTGTACGAAGTGAAACCGGCTGATGAATTAGGCTACGTTGATCCGGCTTTAAATCCTCAATCTCGGGAATCGTTGTTGTTTATGTCTCTTCGCTGATTGGTTGATGCCCGAACTCGCACTTCCGGGGTTTTTGCAAACCGTCTAGTGTATTCAGATTCCTGACCTAGTCGCTGGAGAGAAATGAAATTGAGCGGAAGCATTAGGTGACGTCAGCGGAATAAAACTTTTTGTACTTAAAATAAGAAAATCGAATGTTGCTTGAATTAATAAAAAGACACTTACTCTATTGGTAGATAATGTTACTTGTCAAGTTGAATTTACTCAAACAAAGTTAAATATTTTTAAATTTAAGTCATTATAACTTACCTCGACATTGTATTTTTCTAGTGCATGTTTTAAAGAACTGTATGATTGTGAGGGCTGAGCACACTATGGCATCACACAATCACAACAGCGTCTTAACCTGCAGATAAAGGACACACACAGGCCAGAGCTCGTATCAAAGCTCAGAACCTCCAGAATTCCCCCACTGAGCTGCAGACGTGTTGGAGACGTGTGGAGACACTTTTTAAAATATTCCATCCAGTCGTTGTATTTGCAGAGGTCGCTGGTGCTAGACTAGTGCATGTCAATGGCCATAGTTATCCTGCCACTAAAAACAGTCTTACCCACCTCCACAAAACACCCGAAACAAATCTATTATTACACCAGACTGTCCATGTGAACGTCTTTGTTGATAGAATAATTTCAGAAGTAAAACTAACCTTGCGTTTGAAGGATTTATGTCTGAGCTGCTGCAGCAGTGAGTTGTACTTCTTCATAAAAGTTTGGCAGCGGCGGACTGATATATGAGAAAATAGTCCCTCAACATGTGACGATTCATGCGATGCAAGGTTGGTTTTACTTCTAAAATTTTTCTATCAACACAGACATTTACATCGACAGTCTGGTGTAATAATACATTTTCTTCAGGTGTTTTGTGGAGTGGGTAAGACTGTTTTTAGTGGCAGGATAACTATGGCCATTGACATGCACTAGTCTAGCACCAGCGACCTCTGCAAATACAAGGACTGGATGGAATATTTAAAAAAGTGTCTCCACACGTCTCCAACACTCTGGCTCACTAGGAAATGAGGTCCTATGTCCAAAATTCTGATCTGTCCCTTTAAGTTAACATCCTTAAATGATCAGCTCTGCCTCTTCATAATGAGATTTTACTAGAAGTTTATATTTACTAATGCTGGTACAGTTGAATTGTTAAAAATTCTAGATTGTCTGTATTTTTATACCGAGGGCTCAGTCTGGTCAGCACTCCCTCCGTCGTGTCTCGAGTCAGAACCAAACATGATCGTCCAGTATGTGTGTGTATATATATATATATATATATATATATATATATATATATATATATATATATATATATATATATATATATATTTTGGATATGGATGGACCATGTGTGTCTCTGATTGGCTAATCCACCTGTCAATCACACCCTTTAAACTGTGGGAGATTCAGCGGTGACCAGACTCACATCTTCATAAAGTAGGGATGTAACAATAATCGAAATATCAGGAAATCGTATTGTCAGTAATATCATAGACAATCACAATATATCGAATTACAAGTTTCTTTGCTTAAATTAAGAGTTATGGTGCAGCAATAGATAAAAACTGTGACTTAAACTGCAATGCCGGACATTTGCACTGCATTCGGACTGAACCAGGACTAAAACAGGACTAAACCAGGACTAAACTGTTTTCAGTCCTGGTCTCAGTCCCGGTCTCAGTCCCGGTCTCAGTCCCGGCCTTGTTCTGGTCTGGTCCCGGCCTCAGTCTCAGTTCTGGTCCTGTTCCCGGTCTCAGTCCTGGTCTAGTCCCTGTCTGGTCACAGTCTGGTCCCAGCGTCAGTCCTGGTCCCAGTCTCAGTCCCGGTTTCAATCATGATCTGGTTATGGCATCAGTCCCGGTCTCAGTCCCGGTCTCAGTCCCGGTCTCAGTCCCGGTCTCAGTCCCGGTCTCAGTCCCGGTCTCAGTCCCGGTCTCAGTCCCGATCTCAGTCCTGGTGTCAGTCCTGGTCCTATTCCTGGTCTTAGTCCCAGTCTGGTCGCGGTCTGGTCCCGGCTTCAGTCCTGGTCTGGTCCCGGTCTCAGTCCTGGTCTCAGTTCTGGTATGGTCCTGGTCTCAGTACCGGTCTCAGTACCGGTCTCAGTCCTGGCCCTGGTCCCAGTCTGGTCCCGGTCTGAGTCCCAGTCTCAATCACAGTCTGGTCCTGGCCTCAGTCCCAGTCTCAGTCCTGGTTTCAGTCCTGGTCCTGTTCTCGGTGTTAGTCCTGGTCCTGTTCCCAGTCTCAGTCCTGGTCTCAGTTCTGGTCCTGGTCTCAGTCCCCTGGTCCTCTCAGTCCTGGTCTGAGCCCTGGTTCTGTTCCCAGTCTCAATCCTGACCTCATTTCTGGTATGGTCCTGGTCTCAGTCCCGGTCTCAGTACTGGTCTCAGTGCCGGTCTCAGTCCTGGCCCTGGTCCCAGTCTGGTCCCAGTCTGAGTCCCAGTCTCAATCACGGTCTGGTCCTGGCCTCAGTCCCAGTCTCATTCCAGGTCTCAGTTCTGGTCTGATCCCAGTCTCAGTCCTGGTCCTTCTCTGGTCACGGTCTAAGTCCTGGTCTCAGTCCCGGTCTGGTCCTGGACCTGTTTTAGTCCTAATCAAACACTGAAAAATCAAATCATTATCTGTTTTTTTTTGTTTGTTTTTTCATTTTGGTTTTGAAGACAAAGAAGAAAATTGTTGTTTTTGCATTTTCTTTTTTTTTTTTGGGGTTTTATTTTGGAAAACAAACGAACAAATGATACAGGGATTTTTCTGGAGCACAAGCGAAATAACTCACAAACATCAGTCAACCTGCACGACTTTTTATAATTTGAAAAAGCGCTCATGCAGTTTCTTTGGACGTGCACAGGCCCAGTAATCACAAACACACGAACCATAAACCGGCTCAAAACATCGACTCTGAAAACTGACCCACCCTCCATCTTAAGTTTCATTTTCTTTCGCTTAGACCACCACGGCCTTTAGTCTCCGCACAGTCCTGGTTGAGTCCTGGTCCGGTTCCAATCCCAGTTATTTTTGTCCTTTTGGAAATCAAGCACCGGGAGAGCGATCAATACTTTTCTCCCCGCCCCCTCCAGCCGCATTATCCCACATAGTCCTGGTCTGGTCCTGGTTTTTTATGAACAAACCAGCGCTCCTCTTCTTTTATTGATGCAGAATAATAGAGTGTACAGTGTGTGCGGGAGCAGACTGGCCCGTTACCATGGTTACAACCAAAACAACGAGACAGGCGCATAAATAATAGAAAGCTCGGGGATTTATATCAGATCAATAATTCTCCCTCCAAGACGAGAGCAGCGCGCAGCTCAGTCCTGCTCCTGGTTTAGACCTGGTTAAGACCTGGTTAAGTACTTTGTTTGCTTCTGGTTAAGTCCTGGTCCTGATTTGGTCCTGGTTTCGTCCTTTTTAAGTCCTGGTTAAGTCCATTTCAAATTTTGGTTCAGTCCTTGTTTTGTCCTGTTTTATTTGTGGGGTTAGTTCTGGTTTAGTCCTGGTTAAGTTCTTGTTTACTTCTGGTTAAGTCCTAGTCTTGTTTTGGTCCTGGTTTAGTCCTGTTTAAGTCCTGGTTAAGTCCATTTCAAGTTTTGGTGCAGCCCTTGTTTTTTCCTGTTTTATCTGTGGGTTTAGTCTTGGTTTAGTCCCGGTTTAGTCCTGGTTTAGTCCTGGTTAAGATCTGTTTAAGTTCTTCTTTACTTCTGGTTAAGTCCCTGTCCTGGTTTGGTCCTGGTTTAGTCCTGGTTAAGACCTGGTTAAGTTCTTCTTTACTTCTGGTTAAGTCTTGGTCCTGGTTTTATCCTGTTTAAGTACTTGTTTAGTATTGGTTAAGTCCATTTTAAGTTTGGTTCAGTCCTTGTTTTGTCCTGTTTTATTTGTGGGTTTAGTCCTGGTTTAGTCCTAGTTTAGACCTGGTTAAGACCTGTTTAAGTTCTTCTTTACTTCTGGTTAAGTCCTAACCCTGGTTTGGTCCTATTTAAGTCCGTGTTTAATACCGGTTAAGTCCATTTTAAGTTTTGGTTCAGTCCTTGTTTTTTTCCTGTTTTATTCGTGGGTCAATCTTGGTATAGTCTGGGTTAAGTCCTGGATTGGTCCTGGTTTAGTCCTGGTTTAGTCTTGGTCAAACCTGGTTAAATTCTTGTTTATTTCTGGTTAAGCCTTGGTCCTGGTTTGGTCCTGGTTAAGTCCTGTTTAAGTCCTTGTTTAGTACTGGTTAAGTCCATTTTAAGTTTTGGTTCAGTTCTTGTTTTGTCCTGTTTTATTTGTGGGTTTAGTCCTGGTTTACTTCTGGTTAAGTCCTGGTCCTGGTTAGGTCCTGGTTGAGTCCTGGTTTACTCCTGGTTTAGTTTAAGACCTGTTTGAAGTTCTTGTTTACTTCTGGTTAAGTCAAGGTCCTGGTTTAGTTCTGGTTTAGTCCTGGTTTAGTCCTGGTTAAGACCTGGTGAAGTTCTTGTTTACTTCTGGTTAAGTCCTGATCCTGGTTTGGTCCTGGTTAAGTCCTATTTCAGTCCTTGTTTAGTACCGGTTAAGTCCATTTCAAGTTTTGATTCTGTCCTTGTTTTATTTGTGGGTCAGTCTTGGTATAGTGTGGGTTAAGTCCTGGTTTGGCCCTGTTTTAGTCCTGTTTTAGTCCTGGTGAAGACCTGTTTAAGTTCTTCTTCACTTCTGGTTAAGTCCTGGCCTTGGTTTGGTCCTGGCTTAGTCCTGGTTTGGTCCTGGATAAGACCTGTTTAAGTTCTTGTTTACTTCTGGTTAAGTCAAGGTCCCGGTTTAGTCCTGGTTCATTTTGTTCTCCACCAAAATGTATCAACTCAACAAAGTCTTCATTACACCACCCTCATTTACACATGTCTGTTTTAATGTTTTCTTTTTTTTTCCGTGTCCCCGCAGACTTGTCCCAGAGGAAGAGCGACCTGCGCGTGTGCGATGAGTGGAGCTGTCGGTACGGGGGCGTGTGCAGAGACGACGGCGCTCAGCTCAAGTGCGTCTGCCAGTTCCAGGTCAGGATTCACCAGCAGCTCAATGGTTTACGCCAGGAGTGTCAAACTCATTTTGGTCCAGGGGCCATATTGAACCTACTTTGATCCCAAAGTGTCTGGATCAGAAAACTCATGTCGTATAAACCCCAAAAATAACAATAAGTTCAAATATTTGTGCAGAGAAACACAAATCTATTACAGAAATCCTTTTTAATTGATGAACTCTTTTTTTTTTTTACAAAATATAATATTAAGAACAACTTGAAACTTTAAGAAAAATGCAATTTCAACACAATGTTTTAACATGAAGTGGTATGCAAATTGGAAAGTCAATTTTTGTTGTAAAATCCTGCACTCGGCTCCACTTTTCTCATTTGTGACATTTTTCTGATGAGGGTGTCACGGTCAACAGTCAAAACGATCGTCCTTTAAGAGCGTTTGGAAAGAGACAAGTCTTTATTTGTGCTGCTCTGGTGGGAGGGGCCACGTACAGAGACGCTGGAGATGCTGCTGTGATAAACACCGCAGAAAATTAACAAGATTTTAATAGAAAATATAATTAAACTATTCAGCTGAGGGCCAGATGAAAGGTCTTGGAGGGCCGGATCTGGCCCCTGGGCTGTATGTTTGACACCTGTGTTTTATGCTCAGGACAGGAGTACCTAACTGGAGGACTGGTCTAACCTACACACTGTCCTCTCTATCACACACTATCCCCATCTGTCCACATCGTCCCCTCTGTCCCGTCCTTTTTCTCTCTCTCATAACACGACCCATTGACCGCCGTGTGCAGGGGTCAAAGGTGCCCTCAGATTGATGGCTGAGCTTTAATTGAGTATAGATTCAAAAGCTGTGAGTGTGAGAGACGCGTCCACAGATAAACAGCTGTGTTCGTGGGACCGCGGTGGGGGGGGACAGAACAACCAGAACAAGCCCCGTAAATCTCTATTATTTATGATTCAATTCAATTAACATTCCGCTGCGGTGTTCTGGCGAGCCTCATGCATATCCATCACGTTTATTGAAAGCACGTTCTGTATAATTTCATGAATAAATTAAATTGAAACCTTAAAATGACGATCAAATTGCTGGAGGGCGTCTAAAATAAATATTGTTCTATAGGGAGCTGTAGGCGCCAATCACTCGTAGAAATGTTCAGGGGCAACATGTGTGAATATTCTTTAGATTTTGCACACTATTTTTATAAGAATTTTCAAAAATAAGTTAAATTTTACATGTTTTCTGCAAAATAGTTTTAGAATGTATAGTACAGTCCACATAATAATAATAATAATAAAACAATAAATCAAGCTGATAAGACACAATTATTCATCCCTGAGCATTAATACTCACTTCCACTATTAAATGTATTTGACTAAATGTGTCACCACCTTGTAGTAATGAGCTCTGTTCCGCTGTGAGCTGCTTCGGCTCATTCCACCCACATGAGTCTGGTGTTGTCTCTTATTTCCAGTGCGACAAGGACTACATCCCAGTGTGCGGATCCAACGGAGACACGTACCAGAACGAGTGCTACAGACGCCAGGCCTCCTGCAAACAGCAACGACTCATCAGCAAGCTGTCGGACGGGCCCTGCACTCATGGTAACGCTGCACGGCATTCTAACACCAAGTCACTGTAACACTAAGGCTACGTTCAGACTGCAGGGCTTAACGCTCAATTTTTTTGTGAAATCCGATGTTTTTGCGAGGTCGTTCACATTTCCAATTAAATGCGACTTGTATGTGACTCCAGTGTGAACATTAAACGGACCGAAAGTGTCCCGCATGTGCACTGGAGACACGACGACGTCAACCGCAGCGAGCGTGCTCTGTGTTTACGGAAGTTGTCCAAACACGGACGCGAGCATTGAGCACCTGGAGATTTTAAAGTTCCTCTCGTACCGGAGCCAGAACATGAACAACTTACTTGTTTTAAGGAGGAGATTGAGAAGGAGAAGGACGAGGTTTTTGGCCGTGGTGTTTTGTGGTTCAGTCCGTTGAAAGGAATGTGTGGATGTGGAGACGGAGCCAAGAGTGGTGAGTGGTGATGTGCTTCGCTTCAGTGACACGGAGAGATACGACTTCAGCGCAGAATAGTGACGTTTGTGGCTTGTTGATAACGTGTAAGTGGGATGAATGCACTTTGGCCGTTCAGACTGAAGTCACATGTCAAAAGATCAGATATGTATCAGTTTCAGGAGCACATATCCAAGTGTCCTGGGTCACATTTGAAAAAATCGGATCTGTGTCGTTCAGACTGTCATTAAAAGATCGGATACAGGTCACATAGAAGCCAAAAAATCGGATTTGGGTCACTTCAGGCTGCAGTCTGAACGCAGCCTAAGAGCCCGATCTTGCCCCCTAGTGTAAGCATTTAGTGTGGAGCGTGGAGTTCTAATCAGGAGGTGTGCCGTGCCTGAACATCAGGTGGAGCAGAGCAGACTGAGGGCGTGGTGTGGTTCGTTCAGTGAATTGCCAGAATTGTAAAAATAAATATCAAACGAGTCCGCTGAAATCTACATGTAACATGCTCAAGACTTCTTTTATTTGGAAATATATTAGGATGATAAATGCTTAACATTCATAACATGTTCGTGTGCTGTGCAGGAGTTGTCCGGATGCCCACTCGCAGCAGAGCACAGCCCCTCGTCTGCCTTGTATAGGCTCAGCTCCGCTCTAGAGTTTGGTTTGATGTGGATCTGTACAAAAGCTGCTCATTCACATGAGGCCGTTTACAGCGATGTCCTAAAGTCTGTTTTCTTCTTACTCTGTCTGTGTCCTAATGCTGCGATGTCGATTTCCTCACATTCTCACGGCTGGATTCTGCGCGTGCATTCACTGAGCTCGGGGCTGTGACAGCGGAACAGACGCACGGATCATATCTGTGCTCGAAGCTGTAACATCAGAAACACTTATATGACAATAAACATATTCTGTAATCCATGAGACATCCACCGGTGTGGGGCAAAATGCAGTGGACAACCATGAGACGAGAACGTGAGCGGTTTATTGTCACGTTTATAACTTTTCCTCGCACTCCGCATTGCTGCCTGTGATGAGGCAAAGTTTACAGACATTACCCACTTCAGCCCCCAGCAGCAAAGTACAGCCCCACCTGGGCACGCCCACTCCTTAACGCTTCCACCTAGTGCTAAGACTGGGGGCAAGATCGAGCCCTAAGTCTCTGTAATACCATGTTACTGTAACACTGATCACTGTAACACCAAGTCTCTGTAACACTGATCACTGTAACACCACATACACATGACTGTAACTCCACTTCACAGTAAAAACGTACACATTTAATCACATGCTGTTTCCACTCACTTTAAATACACACATTTTCCAAATTGACCTCAGGAAAGTGCAGAACAAATCTGTTTTTAGCTGCTTTTCTGTCAAAAATCACCGCTGGGTGTTGGTTATTTGGTTACAAGATTTTCTGTGGTCCTGATAGAGCGGACAGTTTGGTGCAGCTCCAGACTTGTACTGATTTTTCCTCTGATTGAGTGGCAGATCAATTTTAATTTGGAACCATAATTACCACTGGATTAAACTCAGCATGCTGAGTCAAAGGCAAACAGAGCCATCTGGTCCTGATCTGGTCCTGGTCTGGTCTTTGGTTCTTATACCCATTTATGGTCAAGTCCTGCTTTGATCTTGATTCAGTCTCACATAGGAGTGTTAAAGATATCGCAATAACATTTTAACTTCTAGATTATTTTAAGAAATCCTTAATGGGAGAGTTCAAGCTTTCACAAGGATCAACAAAATCGTCCACTCTAGAATGAAAGATGTTTTAAAATTTAATTTAATCAACCTGCCTCCATACAGTAGAGTTATATGGGACATTATAACTTCATGTCCCTTTATATGGACACAAGGATCAGTCCTTAAAGCAGCATCTGCACACACCACACTTTATAGTCTTGTACTCAACAAGATTTCAACAAAATGTCCTGAAGTATTTAGTTGTTTTCTAATTCTGTCAGTCTGATTTATTTCAGTTTTTAAGAATTTTTGGCAATTTTTCTGTGAAATTTAGTTTACTCAAATTCTAAATATGATACAAGATATATCCCCTCTGTCTGTTTTTGTTTCTAATATGTCAACAAAAAGAAGAAAGACTAAATTTAAACCTGGCTTTTTCCATGTTTCAGTTTGGAGATGATTTTAGATGTTTATGAAAACATCACGTGATGAAAAAAGTGTGCTAAATATGTCCATATGTACTTTTTACGTAAACCACAGACGAAGTTTCAAATTGATAAATCTAAGGTCATGTTTACACTGAAACGAATCACCGTATCGGAAATGATTTGCGTCCAGACACGTCGTTTCTGTGTCCGCAGTCCTTCCCTATCCACGCAGCTTTGAGTATATTTGTTTACGTTTTACAGAAACAAAACCGCATGACTAATTTGTATAAACTGAGCACTCAAAAATCAGCTCGCTCTTTGTGTGCTGATGTGGTTCAGCTTCTGTCGGACTAAAGGGCACGACTCAGTGGAATATGAGTGTTCTTTCTGTGACAGAGGGGTGTTCTGCTGATGGTGAGTCTGTTCTGTGTTTCTATCATGTTGGAGATGGTTCATGTTAAACTTTTCAGAGATTATACGTCTGCAGGTCATACGCACAAACCGTTTATAAATGGACATATATTCTAGCCTCTTAGCGTTCTGGCGGTGAATTACTTCGTGGTGCATAGACCTACATCAGCGTATCAGCGTTTTCAGGCGTCCACACGGTGCTGGACCAGATCTGTACTCAAATTTATTCGTGGGAGTTGGAGGCACCAGATCGTTCCGTCTCTGGAGCCGTTTTCAATCGGATTAGTGTGAACGAACACTGCATCCACAACGAAAAGGACTCGAATACGAACTAGTGTGGACGGGGCCTGAATTTAGTTTTAATATTTATAACACAATCTCAACAGAAAAAACAGATTTAGCTGGAAATACAACAGGTGAGCTGATTTCTCCCTCTCGAAAAAAAAAACATTACAATCACAATGTTTTCAGGCAGATCTTAAAACTTTTATTTTTTGTGCATTATGTCACTGTGGTAACTGTGCAACATTTCACCATAGAGATACATGTAGAACACCCCATTGTGACGTAAGTGCAAATATGATTGTACAGTGACTTTACCTCGCACTGACCTGTTCTCTCTGTGTTTGCCAGAGCCGGGATCGGGTTCTGGAGATGGAGACGGTAAGTGGGTATTTATTTTGAAAGCGTCATGAGGAAGTCCTGATCTCCACAGTCCTGACCTCTGACCTCTGACCTCTGTGCGCTGTGCAGACGCCGAGGGCTCCACGCCGGACCTCAGCCGCAAGTTCACCAAATGTAGCACCTGCAAGTACGGAGCGGAGTGCGATGAAGACTCTGAAGATGTGTGGTGAGCACCGGCCACAGCAGGACTGCACTGGGACTGGACTAGAAGTGGACTAGAATTGGAATGGCCCTGGACTAGACTTGGACTGGACATGGACTAAACCTGGACTGGACTAGACCTGGAATGGACTAGTGTTGTCACAATACTAAAATTTTCGATTTCAATATTAAGGATTAGACTCTATACTCATTAGCTTTCAACTTTAAAGTCCTTATACTACTACTACTACTACTACTACTACTACTACTACTACTACTACTACTACTACTACTGGGTCCGGTCAAGTGGTAACGGAGGGAAACGGGCAGATTTTTTACATTCAAATGTCTCTTATTCAGAAACTAGAGGGACTATTGAAATAAGTAAAGTATCAGAATGTAGGAAAGAGTTACACTCCAACAGGGTCAAGTTAAACCTGTGATATTCTTTCAAGTTGTTGAGAAAAAATTTAAAAACTCATGTCGGTAACGGAGGGAATGAAATATGCAGCACTTTTTGGGCAATAAACACAAACAGTGATAACTCTTGGTTCTCACTTACATATCCTTAACAAACTGGTTTGAATATTTGCTTCATATAGTTTTCTACCAAATGGTACAAGATTAGGTTGAAAAACCTCTTACTTTTTGAGTAATGAGATTTTTTATTAAGAAAGGTCATGGTAACGGAGGGAAAAGTAACGGAGGAAAATTGTGCAAACAAGTAGAAGGTGCATGATTTTGTATAATTTGTCAACTTTTTTCTTCTGAATACTTTAATATTACTTCAAAATGAAAGAAACTATTTCTATAAAATATGTCAGTCCTTCTAAGCAAATTTTATCATTTTAAATACTTTTTTTTTTTAAATCATGTCCCTTCATCAACAGTTCAAAGATCGAATAACACAAGATATGATGAAATACATCAGTTTATTTACATGATTTTCAGGTCTTTGAAATTTGGGAAATAATTTTTGTTCCATGTTTCATACATGGTCTGTTTAAAACGTATGTAACTTTAGAACCAAAAACGGTACAGAAAAAAGGTAAACAGTTTCATAAACTAGAGTACATATGTATCTGTTCAATACATTTTTATATCAGATGCATTAACTTGAATTTTTGTCCTTGCTGTTTACTTCTGCTTGACCGGGCCCTACTACTATTATATTATACTATACTATACTATACTACTCTATGTGCTCTTATACTTGTTCTGATACAGCTCAAGACCATTGTCCAAAGTTTTTTGGTCCTCTGATAATTTATTTTCATAGATTCTTTTTTTCAGGTTTAGTTTGTTTTCACACCCGACAGTTTGGACGGCTCACTAACAGTCAAGTAACGTTATTGATTTGTGATTGGTCAGCTCATTTAAACAGGCTTTCGACCGGTGGAGGCTCCATCTGCACTCTGAGTTCTTCAGGACAGTAAAAAAGCCTCATCCTGGTTTAACCTTTAACTTCCTGTGGGCACGTTTCTGCATTTTAAGAACCGCGTTATGGACAGGACAGAAGACGACAAACATCGTCGCTGGATTAAAGAGGTAGTTGAAATACAGAAACGTGCCCAGAGGACGTTAAACCAGCACGAGGGAGTTTTTTTACTCTCTCACACCTGGGGTACTGTTCTGAAGAAGGAGAGCTGCAGGTGGCGCTGTTGTTCTGTCTTCACCGGTAGTGTGTCTGTGTCTGAGAGTGTGTAGTGTGACAGTATATCCTCTAATGAATCAGGCAAGAGTCAAACATTATTTAAAATGTATTTATTATTTATTTATAATTTATTGGTAGAACAGTAATGGAATGATAACAACAACAGCTATAATAATTATAATATTAAAGTATTAATATAATTATTAAAACAGTCCAGTGCCATAAATAAACCAGCAGAATCAACCAGCAGACATCCAAAACAATGACTTTGGCTTAACAATTCTAATAAAACTACTGTATCTGGGGACACAAATATGTTGTGTTCATAAAATAAAAATCTTACATTACAGTTCCTTTAAACTAAACCAGGATTAAACATAAACAAGATTAAAGCAGGGCTGGAGTGATAAAGTTAACCAGGACTCAAGAAAACTCACTCAGGACTCAACAGGACCAGACCACATCACATAAACCAGGTCTTCACAGCTGCCGTGTTGTTGTCCAGGTGCATCTGTAACATCGACTGCAGCGGGCACAATGAGAACCCAGTGTGCGCCACAGACGGGCACTCGTACTCCAACCCCTGCCTGGTGCGAGAGGCCTCCTGCATGAAGCAAGAGCAGATCGACGTGCGCCACCTGGGCTTCTGTGCAGGTCAGGACCACGTTACCCACAATCCTCTATTCAGGACTGTAATACCCACAAGTCAGGGCCACACATAAAATCTGTTTATCCAATCCAATAAATTTGATGGACTATCGCGGAGATTCTGTGCCGGCGAAAGGGCGAAAGGCGAAATTGACGACTGTAGTTTTGCGAGGATTCGCGTGGTTCAGAGGGACGTGCTCAAGGTGGGGGGTAATTGCTGCGGGAAACACTGCCAACCCAATCACGGGCGGGTTCCCTGGTGAATATTAAAGAGTCGAGCCTTCCGTGTAGCTGCACATATAGTGGCGGAATGTAAACACACACAAATTGGAAGAATTCACTCGTGCACAGCCCTGCACCGAACTGAAACAGCACAAATACATGGTGTTCCTTTGGCTATAACAGGGCAGCCGCAGGGTCTTAAAAGTCTTAAATTTCATGTTCCTAAAGTAAGACCTTAAAAACTCTCAAATTATGTTTTCCAAGTCTTATTTTTTTCCACAAAGGTGTTAAATTTCATTAGCCTATTTTTTTGTTTACTCAACAGGCTACAGTGTAAATGTTAAATGGACGGAGGAAAAAATAAAAAGTGAAATCATGTAACGTGAATGAATGTCTATTTTGGAGTATAGTTTGTCTTGTTAGAATATTATAAATCATTTTTTGGCCATTTTACAAGCAATGCATCCTACTATAAATGAGTTCTGAATGAGACTTTATAATAAAAGTATTTTTGGTTATTTAAAGCAGTGAGTAATGGTCATTATTAGAATTGGATCTGGTGTTTTTGGCCCACATAATGGGTGCGATGTTGGTCTTAATTTCCATTTAAGTGGTCTTTAAAAGGTCTTTTAAAAAGTCCTAAATTTGGGGTAGTCAAACCTGGGGATACCCTGTATAATATTCAACAGTAGGACATAACACTTATCTGTGTCCATCAAAGATATTCCAAAGTAAGTTACACACTGGAGCTTTAACACTGATGTCTTCTTATATATGAATCTAGACTGTAGTAATGCGGCTCTTTGATTTAGAGCAGACATGTCAAACTCAGGCCTGGGGACCAAATGTGGCCCACTATATAATTATATTTGGCCCACAAGATCATATCAAACATGTATTAGAGCTGCCCTCCGGCTACAGATAGACTATAGAGACATTATTTTATTAAAATGTTGTTATTATTTTATATTTTGCTTGTTCTGGATTCAGTGTTTAAGCAAAACTATTATTAAACATTTATTTTAATATGAAAAGGTTGAACATTACATATCTCGAAAGAAGAGAAAAACTTGCAGATGTTGTTGAAATTTTTCTGTAAATATTTAGTTTGGCCGACGACTTTTAATTTTGGCCTCTGTGAATTTGAGTTTGACACTTCTGATTTAGAGAATAAACAACTGATTTTGAACTCCACAGACTAAGGTTTGAGGGTTCTGTTATACCCAGTCTGAGTGAAGATCCCTGCTGTCAGTCCACTGGAGGTTATCCACTTTAGGCCGCCTCAGAAAGCAGTTCCAGTGTGAACGTTCATTATGATCTTTGTGTTCACAGCCGACAAAGACAAGATGGGCAAGAAGGAGGACAACAGCCCCTTCAAAGTCCTGGGTAAGAGCCTCCCTCACTGAAGCCTGCTGCTGTGTGTCATGTGTCAGCGCGTCCTTGCTTGTTTACAGGGAATCATTGTGATGGACGATGGACGTGCTGAGAATTATGATTGGCGTTTACTATAATTTCTCTTTAAATGTAACTAATATAATTGTTCATTTATTTTAATTTGAATACTATACACCCTTTTCTACTTAAAATGTATAATTTCATTATTTTACTAAACTAATTACTCATCCAGGGCTTTGGCAGGTAAGGGAAAAAGCTTCCATTTAAGTCGAGTTAGTACAAAGACACAGCAGGTTATATCAAAGGCAGCACATGACACAGATGTAATTTTATGCTTTTACTACACGGTTACCTGGATGGAGGAGAATTAGAACTTTATGGAGACTCGTTTGGATTAATCTTTACGCACACTCACTCCTCGCTGGATATATTTACCAATGAGGAGCATGATTTTGGCAGAGTTTTGGTGAATAATGGCTATAAATGCCTGGCAATGAAGACTGGATGTTTTCGGTTTCCTGCAGCTTTTCTGTTTTAACAGTGATATGACACACATGTTGAGTGCAGTCGTGTCACCTGAGCACCTGCACTGTTGCGATGATGTTTCTGTCAGGCTACTCGTCATTTAATTTACAGTGCAATCCCTGCAACATTTTTAGGTTAACTAGGCCTACAGAAAATCTATTCTAAATCTAAATCTACAAATCTACTCAGTATTAACTTTGTCTCTGTCGTCTCTGTGACAGACACCGGAGTGGACCTAGGAGAGGCGGCTCGTGCTGGGGTGCCCGTGCCTTGCTCCAGCAGCTACGCCGGATACTGTGTCCATGGCAACTGTGAGATGCACTACAACACCGCCACCTGCAGGTCAGACACATACACTGCATGTGTTTTGTATTATCATTGCTTTTGCTTCTGAATTAAATATGAGCATTTATGCTGTGAAGTGTCTATGAACAACCAAAACCAAAACACATTTAAGATCATTCTATTTAGGATTTAACTAAAATAGTAATAATAATAAATCCCCATTTTTTTTAAGGTTTCAGAGTTTATTTCCTGGTTGCAAATCCTGACTAGGGAATTCCATTACTGTTACCAAACAACCTTGTGGAACACTGGGCCAAAACTTCTCCTGTGTCTCTCCTCTCACAGACAATAATGATGATATAATACAAGAAAGATAAAAACCTGTCATATGTGCTCCTAATTGTGTATTGATTGCTGTTGTTTTGACAGCTGTACTTACTTTACACTCCCCATCTCTACCAGCAGAGGGCACAAGAGCTGTTTTAAAATACTAGTGTTTAAAATACAGTGTTCAGCTACTCACAGTCTACATACAGACATGGACAAAATTGTTGGTACCTCTCTGGAAATGAAACAAATATCAACAATAATCACTGAAATACCTTGAAACTGATAAAAGCAATAATAATAAAAAACATTACTGAAAATTGTCCAACAAAAATCAAACACTGTTTTTCACCTGTGGTTTGACAGAATTATAAAAAAAAATAATAATAATAATGCAACTGGCCTGGACAAAAATGATGGTACCCTTAACTTAATATTTTGTTGCACAACCTTTTTAAGGCAAACTCTGCAAAGAAACAATTTCTGTGATTTCAATGAACTTCTGCTCTAATCAACAGGTATTTTGACCCATTCCACGTGAGCAAACTGTTCTAGTTGTCTCAGGTTTGAAGGGTTCCTTCTTAGTTTCAAGTTATTTCAGTGAAAATTGTTGATTTTTCTTTCATTATCAGAGGGGTACCAACAAGTTTGTCCATGTCTGTACATACTATTAATTTAAGTTATAAAATATGTTATAACAACACTCAAAAGAAATGTATATTAGATTTGTGTCTCCACATACGAGGTTAACATGTTCAAATACAGATCAATTGTAATGCTGATTTATTACAGAATCACTGGACATGATTACCCATTTACTTTGGTAAACTTTGGTGTTTTGGTTCTTAAGATAATTAACCAATCAGAAAGCAGAATAAGCCTTGTATGAGAATCCAGTTGATTTAAATGTAAAAGGACTCAGAGACTCATGAATCAGTGCAAGTGCAGCCTCAGTGGGTCTGCTTTAAATATCTTGACAGGCCTTTCCACAGGACAGTAGCTGATGGAAGTATTGACTCTAGAGTTTTTGTCCATGTGAGGTGAGCTTTGACCGCTCTGTGTGTGTCTGTGTGCACATGTGTGTGTGTGCACATGTGTGTGTGTGCACATGTGTGTGTGTGTGTCCTCCGCAGATGTGACGCGGGGTACAAAGGCCCTCAGTGCACCGAGCCCCAGGACTTTAACGTGCTCTACGTCGTCCCCAGTGGACAGAAACTGCACTACGTCCTGATCGCCGCCATCATCGGAGCCGTGCAGATCGCCATCATCGCTGCTGTGGTCCTGTGCATCACCAGGTACGACTGACCACAGCACTGACCGCAGCACTGACCACAGCACTGACCGCAGCACTGACCGCAGCACTGACCGCAGCACTGACCAACACTGACCACAGCACTGACCACAGCACTGACCAACACTGACCGCAGCACTGACCGCAGCACTGACCACAGCACTGACCAACACTGACCACAGCACTGACCACAGCACTGACCAACACTGACCGCAGCACTGACCACAGCACTGACCGCAGCACTGACCAACACTGACCACAGCACTGACCACAGCACTGACCAACACTGACCACAGCACTGACCAACACTGACCACAGCACTGACCACAGCACTGACCAACACTGACCGCAGCACTGACCACAGCACTGACCGCAGCACTGACCACAGCACTGACCAACACTGACCACAGCACAGACCACAGCACTGACCGCAGCACAGACCACCACTGACCACAGCACTGACCACCACTGACCACAGCACTGACCACAGCACTGACCGCAGCACTGACCACAGCACTGACCGCAGCACTGACCACAGCACTGACCAACACTGACCACAGCACTGACCACAGCACTGACCTCAGCACTGACCACAGCACTGACCAACACTGACCACAGCACTGACCGCAGCACAGACCACAGCACTGACCACAGCACTGACCAACACTGTCTAGTGTGTTGTTGTGTTTGGGATGACTTGAGCAGAGCTGGTTAAAGTGCTGCATTTCATTACTTAAGTTAAACTAAAGATACACCTGGTCAAATATTACTCCAATACAAGTAAAAGTAGGAATGTCAGTTTATTACTCAAAGTACTGAAATATTTGCTGTAGAAACAACTTAAGTATTTAATAATTATTAGATTAGAAAGACAAAAACATTGGTTACAATGAGCACATCTCAAATGGGAATTTAGATTCAATCAATATTTTGTATATTTATCTGCTATAAAATAAACACGATAATAATCAAACTTCAGTCTTGTTGGAAGTGCAGATGTTAACAAGCCCTAAAATTGTTGATACTGCAGCACATCCTGAACAGAACACCTGCTGTGTGTGTGTGTAGCACTTGAGTGTGTAACAGCACATGTGCACGGGTCATTTAAGGCTTTAAAAATGGGACAAAATGGAAACAATATGAATGTGTAAAACAGCTTCACAAAAGTACTTTGTACTTGAAGCCTTTTTTAAAGAAATACACTGAAGTTTAAAGTATTATGTTTGTCTTTCACGACAGATGCTTAAAATGAATACTCAAGTACTTTTGCTTAATTACTGACGACCTCTGGACCTGAGGGAGTTTTTAGTACCACTGATGTGACAGCAGGGGGAGCACTCTGACTGTGTATAAAGAGAATAATACTGCATTAGAAGTATTCTCCTCAGAACATACTTCTAATTGAACCACCAACCTTTATGTCTGAATCTGAACTCTTGTATTTTTCAGAAAATGTCCGAAGAACCAGCGCGGACGTCGACACAAGCAGAACCTGGGACACTTCCCCTCAGAATCCAACTCGCGCATGGTATAGCTCCGCCCCCTTCTGGAGCCTTCTCACCCTGCGGGAGGGCATCTGGACACCACAGCAGAGGGCGGGGCTGCTACACGGGGCCTTACCACTGGACCTCCCTCTTTTTTGGAGAGACTTCTGGTTCTATGCCCAATGCCTGGCTCAAAGGAACAATGGCCTTGATTGTCTTGTGGTGGAGGAGACGTCTGCAGCTTCTCCAGGTTTGGTCCATGAGTTCAGGTCTTCATTTTGGTTCGTCTCCATTCTGATCTATGACAGAATCTTTTGGACTCTGTTCTAAACTCGTGTTATTGTAAATGTAATCTGATTTTTTATGTCAAATTTAAGGCGAGACACTGCAGGTGAACAGGGAAAAAAATGTACATTTTGAGAAATCAGTTTAAAATTTCTACTTCTGTAGTTCACTCACATAAATGTAAGAAATAAATGTATCATATGTTTTTAATCATGTCATGTTTTCATATAGAAATAAATCATTTTATGTCTATAAAGGCCAAATTTGAACTTTGAATCTCAAAAACAGATACAGCCAAGGGTTTTTAAAAAAAGATATATTATTCGTTTTGTCTTATTAGATACAAAAAAAAAATCCAGAAGGATTTTGGATATCTGATTTAACTTGGATGTCTTATTTTAATTAATCTCACTGGAAAATTAAAAATTAATAAATAAATCAGGCTTGAATTAGATATCAGAAAATCTTTCTGTACTTTTTAGCAAAATCCTGTCCAGTACAAAATTATAAAGTTTGGTTTTACATCCCAATGAGAGTTTTGATAAAACAGAGTTTGAAGTTACAAAGTCTCATGTAACTTTATGGATAAAATTAAATAAAATTTGAAAAGATCTTTCGGTGCCGAGAGGACTGTTTTGTTGTTTCCACATGGACGCTTGTTACTAAGAGACCAAATAACCAAAAATCAGATTTAAAAAAAGGTTTTCCCTGTAGTGTCTCCCCTTTAATGTTTTGTGTTTGTTCTGTTTTTTGACATTGACGGTTGAATGTTTTATAAATCACTCGGAATGTAAAAGCTATCACCAAATTACTTTCTCCTTCTGTTGCCATCAGTTCATTGTATGATTTTATTTAAACTCAAATCTACATCATGTTACCATTTGTAAAAACACAGGTATGAAATTAATACATAAATAAACAAAACAAAATAATTATAACTACATTTCTCCAATTAATCTTTGTGAGAAAAACAGATCTATCCTACTTTATTTCACTTTATTTTACTTTGTTTGTTTGTTTGTTTGTTTGTTGCCTGGGGTTTTCATGGAGCTTCCTCACTGATGCTCACAGCTCAGGATTTAAACAAAATGTCATATGTTTTATATTTATTAACATTATTATAAAAGTTTTAAAACTGAACTTTACAGCACAGTAATAGGACAGAAATAACAGTGTGACTGGAGTAATCCCTGTTGTAGCCTTGTTTCCTTATGATTTTATTAAACTGGTTCCCTGGGATCCAGACCTGGTACTTTGCCATGACATCGTGCTGGGGTGTTCTACATGTATCTCTGTGGTGGAATGTTCAGCAGTTACCACGGTGACACGATGCACACATTAGCAAACGTCAAAAAAGATTTAAAATGGGTTTAAGCAGCACGTTTTCATAATTTACCTATTTGTTTAACAGCACAAATCAGATCAGCTGTGGCATTTTTTTATGGTCAGACTGAGTTAAAACAAAGATCAGATTAAAGAAGCATTAAACTGTTCCGGTTCGTTCGTACTTGTTGATATTTGGTCCAAAATTTATCCCATTTTAGACTTGATGTGGACATGGGTTTGTCAAGTTCTAGTCCTGGTTTAGTCCTGGTCTCGTCCAGGTTTTGTTTCGGCTTTAGTCCTTAATGTTATTTTTGGTGTAGTGTATGTACAAGTGTGAATGCACCGTTAATCTGAGGTGAGGGAGGTGTTCTAAATGACGGTGACCAATGAGCTCCTTCGTTTCACATGTGTCATTGAAATGAACAAATCTGATTGAACAAACATGTTTCAGGTTTAAAATGCGACGAAGGGCGTTGGGACCAGACTGATGTCCCTCCGTATAAAAATACAGACAGGTATCACTCTGGACTTGCCAAGCAAACAAGCTGGCCTAATTTACCTCAAACTTGTTTCAGGGTTGGATTGGATTAAGAATTTGTTTGTTTTCTTGAGTAGTTTTTGTGTAATTACATTTTAGTGACCATCAAATCCAATCAAAATCACTTTATTTGTCAAAGTTTAAACACACTGAGCAGTAAAATACAATAATAACAGAAAATCAAACGAAAAGTCTCAGTGCAGCTCAACAGATAGAGTCATGAGATCCAGGGCAGTTTGAGGAAGGTAACCTGATTCATCCGTCCAACCTCGCAGTGTTAGAATTTGTTCGCACGACGGTAGATGAGTTTTTTTTTTTATTTCACCAATCGCTGCAATTTGGTCGTGACGTATGTAATGCGCCATTAACGGGATGGGGTTAACTGGTATATTAAGCTTTTCCCAAATCCCGTAGGAAGAAGGACAATAACGTCTTTCCCCTTGATAAAATTCACCAAACATTCTCTTTGTTCCAGCTTTAAATCCTCAATCTTGGGAATCGTTGACAACACTGAATATATGGCTCTTCGCTGATTGGTTGGTGCCTGAACTTGCACTTCCGGTTTGCAAACCATCTAGTGTATTCCGATTCTTGACCTAGTCGCTGGAGAGAAATGAAATTGAGCGGAGGCACTAGGTGGCGCAAGCCTTAGGACAAAAGTGTCTCTCTTCTGTGTCCTGAAGCCCGGGCATTACAGCAGCCCCCAGGGGGAACAGGGGGACTCTGGAGACACAAAATAAAAGCCTTTCCTCTGGACGGTTTTCTTTATTTTGGTTTAGAAAGCCGTTTTGCATTGTATAAGTATGCAGCATTTCAGAACTAGTTGGTTAGAATAGTTATCTCCAAGCACGATTGCCAAAAACAAATCCAATAGTCCTTAATCCTTGTCCTATGAACTGCACAAGCTGCACTTCTTAGTTGGTCAAAATCCCCAAATATTAAGTTAAAAATGTAACATAAAAATTAAAAATTCACACCACAAGAGCAGCCAGCGACTATTGAACCACTGAATCCATCCAACTGTCATATTACTACACTATTACTGTGCTGTAATAGTGTTTAATAGAGTTTATATAGATTTAATTTTCTGTTTTGTCCGTGCATTTGTTGTTTTTTGTCGTTGAAAATGATCCATGTCTCCAAAAGCACAGCCCAGAGTTCACCGTGTGGGTCCAGCGTTCACATGTTTGTATTGATTTTTTGGTTTGTTTTTGGTTTGAAATGTCGTCGTGGTGAGATCTGATTGGACGCTCGGAGGAGGGGAGGAGTCTTCAGTGATGTCCTGTACTTGTCGTATTCTGTGAAATGGAACTGTGTAATGACCACTTTTTCTGCATGTTTCCCATTGGACTCAGGAGCCATTTTAAGCCCCGCCAAAATAAAACAACTTTCTACAAAATAAAGGACTGACGTTTTTTTTTACTATTACTTTGTTAACATGGATGATTTGGAATTACAGCTGGCTACGTTCGAGATCATTACAGAAACATAATCACACGCACAAATCCCTGACGTTTTGGTGCAGCTCGCAGGACGTACGCTACACAGATGGGACAGGAACAGTGACTCCAGGAAAAACAGGAGGGGGGCTCTGCATCTACATGCATGAAGGTTTGTGTAACAACAGCACTGTATTGGACAGACACTGTTCTCCTGACCTAGAGTTCATGTCGGTGAGATGCAGACCCTTCTTTCTGCCTACAGAGTTAGCTGCAGGAGACTATTTAATAAGGCAAATCGTAAAACTGTTTAGCCAAAATTCCACCAACATGTTAAATTCCCAACAAGAGTTAGAACACTCTGGACCATGTGTATTCTAACATCATGCGTGCATACAGAGCCATACCCCTCCCCCACCTGGGCCAGTCAGACCATCTCTCCCTGTTCCTCACCCCTGCAGACACCCCCCTCAGCCGACAAAAAAACCCCAGAAAGACTGTCCGTCACCACCGGGCCTGACGATGTCCTCTCCTGACTGCAGGTGTGCTTTGAATAAACACAGTGGAGAAACAATACACACGCCAGCTTCCACCTCTTCAACCTGTTGCCTTCTGGCAGGTGCTTCAGGTCCAGTTCAGCCAGAACAAATAGACTCAGGGACAGTTTCTTTCCCAAAGCTGTCACCATACTGAACTCATCTTTACACTGAGAACTGTTCATTTGTTTTTTGGGGTTTTTTTGCACTTTGACAGAGCAGCTCTCAATCTCATTAAACTGTATAATGACAATAAAGACATTTTATTCCATTCCAAACTTCTGTGGAAGTGTCTGTGGAAATGTTTCCAGGTCCAGAGGCCATGAAGATAGTACCAGAAGAGTCCAAAAAAAAAAAAAAAAAAAAAAAAAAAAAAAACTGTGGCAAGGGCTGGTTGGAAACACCCAAAGACTCAGATGTAGAGGTGACGGCTCAGAAGGCTGCAGTGGTGAGTCTGAAGAATTAGGAAACGTTTAAGACCGTGACAAAGGCAAGACAGTGTAGTGTAGATTCAACCATTATCTCATAACAGTTCAAAAACTTTAAGTTTTTGTATTGTAAATTTACATTAAATAGTTTATTAATGACGCAGAGAGAGAGTAGATTGAAGAGAAACAATCCCATATGCTTTTTGCTAAACACTGTTTGTATGTTTAACGTCAATTGACTTGTTAGAAATGTAGATTGTAGAAAATAAACTCACAAACTAAAGTTAAATCAATGATTTTTGTGTGTTTATTACATTGACATGAGTGATTTAGTCTGCAATGTTGCTACAACATCTGCATATTAGTCAGAGCTGCAGCATATAAATATCATTATGAACTATGATTTGGCACTTACAGATCTTTAGAGATGTTTAAATGTTTTTTGTCATGAAAAACCCAACAAATATGCCTTTGAAAGATAAAATATTGTATTAACTT